GAGGAAGGCCAATTCATGTATATGTTTTTTACCAGTATGTTTTATAAGGAATAAATCAATTAAGGCATGTTATGGTTTCACCCTTCTTTACCCTTATCGATCTGGTCAATGGAAAACCTAACCCAATGCCTAGTCCACTCTGCACGCTACCTAACGAGCTACATGCTGTCCAGAGGGGGTCTGGTGGCAGCGACCCTTAGAAATTAAGATTAGAGTTAAGACATCCCCTTAGACTTAGTGACCCCAGAATCTGGCAATATAAATTGGTGGCTATAGCGGTGGGATGGTTTTTGTTCATTGATCAAATCCGAGGGAATTGAAGTTGTGATTTAAGTTGCAAAAATAGACAAGTATTTTAATGATGGATAATCTGATTTTTGAGTGATACTTGCAGGTGAATAACATTGATTGAGTACAAAAATGTAAGAAGAATTTTTGAAAATTTATACAGTACTGAAGTCATGTGTGTCATTGATGTGTTTTGTGTTTGTGTTTTATCCAGCATTAATATGTAATAATAATTGCAGAAGTTATGGATTAACCTTGTTGACGTTGAAGTAAGGGAGTCCACACTGTGTCTGAGAAGTGTCTCAAGTGGTTCACCTCTGATGTTGTTAAGTGGTTCACCTATGGAATGCCATAGGACTTTCGGTCTCCAGTTGATGTGAGTTATAATTTTCGGTGCCATGTTAAGATGTTGCATAGTGTTGTATTATACCATTGATCAATTCAGGTTGTAGTAGTACAGGAGAGTAGTTGTGTTAAGCGGTTCGTATTTTTCCTTGGTCGAGGGGTAGCATTTTTAGGTCAAAATGGCTGAGTCAGTAGAACAGGAGAGTACCATGGTAGGGGACACATTAGAAGAGAGATTGGAACGGACTTTGCAGATCGTCGAGAGACAATACTCAGAGCTAGAAGAATTACAGAGACAGGTTAAGGAACTAAAACGAGAACTCCAGCATGCAAAGAACCAGGACACTGATCTAGAGTATGGTGTAGGTAAGGACACAACCCCAACTGCCCCACCGGCAGAAAGTGCCCACTCTGTACCACAATCAGGGAACGATACCACACACCCAGGTAGCCTTAGAGTTTATCCAGGGGTTCTTTCCAAACTAACGGACAGTGCCAAGAGGGATGATAGGGAAGCAGCCGTGTTCAACCTCAGTTATGTTAGAACAGCAATGGCAGGGGATGTCAGAAGTAACTAAACCTTTGGAGAGAGTATCTGTGGACTTGACAGACTTACATAATAGCGAGAATGGATATCGCTATGTGTTGACTGTCATAGATCACTATTCTAAGTTTGTCAATTTCTATCCTTTGAGACAAATCCCTCAGGGAAGTGACCAGAGAATTTAGTAAATTCATTAATGTTTTTGGTAGCCCTGGGTAGTCATTGCAGATATGGAGGTGAGTTTACCCAGCAATACAGTTTAGAAAGAATTATGTAAAAGTATTAACTGGCATTAAGAACTATTTTACATTGCCTTACCTAGAGGTAATAGTGTCACAGAGAAGTGCACAGGACCTTTAAAACAACACTGGCAATCATGTGTAGAAGATAATCACTTCAGTGGCCAAAATTTCTCAGTCCGTGCAGTCGGCTCTGAGCATCCATGCATGCCACAACTGGGGTACAGCCTCATTTTGCTTTTTCAAGGCATGTACAAAGACAAGTAGGAATTGACTTACCTATAATAGAGAATGAGAGCAGTCCAAGAGGTTGAAAGAAGCCCACAGGTTGATAAAGAGATGTCTGCCAGAGATGTCACGAGAGACCAGAGAGAGAGCAAATAGTCAAGAACAGACAAACTATGCAGTTAGGAGAAGCAGTATGGGTGGGAATGAATGGCCCAACCTGGGACCAGTAGGAAGTTGAATACCAAGTGGAAGGGTCCGTACACTATAACAGAAATTATATACGAAATGGTGCCGCATATGAGTTGACTAACCCACTTGGATGAAAGTGAGAATTTGATACAGGGCAGCTGAGAAAGTAAAGAGGTATGTAAGTAGGGAACATGTTTGTTCAGCTGAATGAGCCTACTCCCACCCTATGATTCTTCCTCGGACTCGGGTTCAGACGGAAACAGATGAGGAAAGTGATGACGGAAATGTGGAGTCCTAGCCTGCAAGTAGATTACCTGAGGCAGAGGGAGACCAGTAGTTAGAATGGATTTGTGGAAATATAGTTCAGAATGTTGCTTCAATTGAATATTATTGGCTTTTTCCAGTTTGTTAGTTTGATTTGTTGAATTATAAAGTTTTTGAGGTGGGGAGACAGTTGCTCAGATGGTTTTGTCGGGATGCTTTTTGAAGATCAGCTATTGGTAGTGAGTATCTATTGTCTGAAAATGTTTTTTTTGGGTTGTTGACTTCGTTAGTCGTACTACAAGTCACCCCAACATTATAAATCAGTTCTTACGAACTGAAGTCCGGAAATCCAGTTGCTGCCTATGTTGTCGAAGGAGAAATCTCAGGTTTATGTGTGTCAAAAGTTTGGGGGTGTTGACTTTCGCTCGGGTGAAAGTCACCCCGACAACAAAATACCAGTTCTTCTGAACTGTGAGACAATACGTGTCTTGTGTTATGAGCCCCAATGTGTACGTCTAGAACCACGGTTTTGTGTTGAAAAGGTGAATTATTATTGGAAATGAAGTAGTAATCTGAGAAGTGTCTGATGTAACTAATTCCCCATTCATAGACAAATTTAAATTCCTTGGTATGTAATTTCACACAGAGAACTTTTGTTGTAGATGTAATATCAAAGAAGAATCACTGTTTAGGTGCTGGTACCACAAGTAGGTTGATACGCTGATGAAATGTTAGGGAATGTTCCTATACTATATTGTACTGAAATAAGAGTTGATAAGTTGTTGTATGTATAGGTAACAGAGACTCGGAAACCAATGAAAAAGTTTGTCTCCTTATAATTTTCTTTTTTACTGATATATTGTATGCGAACTAGCAAGATTGTAAGCAGTTGTCCGATGTATATAGCCGAGGTGCTCATGGGAAACGTTTAAGTCTCCTTATGTTTTTTGTTTGATGTATTAAGGTACTCTAATCACGAACTGTTAGGATGTTGTAAATGTATGCTTTTCTGGCGTTACTGCTTTGCATATTATTTCGCATAATATGAATCTTTGGGAGAGAAGGCTATGTACTGCGCACATCATTGTCATTCCTAAAAACCCCATTTAATTCATATTACGCTATATAACATTCAAATGCGTAGAACCTCAGAAAACGGGAAACATTGATGAGGGTAACTCACCTACTCAATGTTACTAGACCATGTGTTGTATTGTTGTACCCAGAGTACAGTTATATCATGTAAGTGTATGTATTCATAGCATTAAGGAGAACTCAGGGTATGCATAAGATGAATGTTAAAGTCCAGTTATGAGCGGACTCGTGTACTGTAAGACGAGTGTGGATCAGGGTTTTTGAAAGGAGTCATACTATTTACGTCTGTGAAGGCGTGTAGCGAACATAACTGCCACAGATATCATATGAAGATACATGAGAACAATGATCTGGAAAAAGGATAAATGTATCAGAACTATGTGAGGTGTTGGAAGTGATCAGAAACTACTTGAAGGAAATATCTTGTATGCGTCGGTATGAACTTAATACACCTGCGTATCCTCATGTGACATATACCACCCACATTTCCAAGGTACGAAAGTGATCCAGAGAATGTATGTCTGTATTCAAATAGTGCAAGGTGTGAGAGGAGGAATCCCTCATTACAGTTTTAAGTGAAGTTGATACACCTGCCATGATCATTCAGCCTTTGTTTCAAGGCCACGTGATAGTAGAACCCCTTGAATTTTCACGATTTAAGACCTTACCTTGGTAGTAATTTAGGATTAAAATATATGTATGTGTTTATAAGGCATGGTGACAATATACCGAAAAGTGTTCGGTGAGAACCATAAGAAACAAAAGTGAAAATTAAGGATTTGGAAACTGTAGGCCTACGTGATGAGGGCGGCGGGGCAATGCCCTCCAGTGTTCCTCGTTCTACCGTCACCTCAGGTTCCATGCGGTCGGAGTGCCCCTTGCCGCCCGGCCCTTGTTATCCCTTTGAGCGTCACAACAGGTGGTGACTACCTCCCATATGCCAATCCACTGTGAACCTGTGGATTTCCAGCGCACCACTCAAATGAATGATCACAAATAAGGAGACCGTGAGAAACTCCTGGTCGTCATGGAACGACCTATAATACCAGGCGTAGAAATAGTGCTGAGTATGTCTCTAGGTCAAAGCCTCGTCTTTACCACCGAGGGCGGTGTGCGAACAGGTGCCTGTTGTGTATACCTAAAGTCTGGGGAGTCCCATACTTGCAGGTATGGAGTGTAACGTGTGTTGAAGTGGTGCTACTATGTATGATAACCGACGGTGCTATATTCCCATACAGGTGGAGCAGTCTGAAGTGTTAAGGGATAGTGTAAGAAGAATGACCGAGGTAAGGTGGTCTGAATTGTTATGCAATAAGTAAGGTGGATGACACGCCATCAATGTAGAGTCTGGGGCCCATCTGGGTAACCACATTTCCGTTGTTCTTCTGAGGAAGGCCAATTCATGTATATGTTTTTACCAGTATGTTTTTATAAGGAATAAATCAATTGAGCATGTTATGGTTTCACCCTTCTTTTACCCTTTATCGATCTGGTCAATGGAGAACCTAACCCAATGCCTAGTCCACTCTGCACGCTACCTAACGAGCCACATGCTGTCCAGAGGGGGTCTGGTGGCAGCGACCCTTAGAAATTAAGATTAGAGTTAAGTTATCCCCTTAGACTTAGTGACCCCAGAATCTGGCAGTATAGTGAGAGAGGGTGAGTGTATGGATGGGAGTGAGGGTGTGTGTGGGAGGTCCTCCCATACACACACCCTCACTCCCATCCATCCCTCACTCTCTCTCACACACCCAACCTCCCACCTTTAATGTGTTTGGATGGGACTGAGGTTTTCTCATTTCTTTCAGATTGTGTGCCTCCGAGGTGAACGTCTGACTGAAGTGAACGTATGGCTGGTCGAGAACTCTTCCAAACAGGTAAAGTAATTATGACAATATATAATGTCTATATGCAAGTATTTATGAATGTTATGTTTTAAACTTTTTGTATTCCAAGTTTGTTTGTGTGGCTGACTGTGGACCTACAAGGTGCTTCTTGGAGGTAATAAAGGTAAAATTTATCAAGTTATAGTTGATAGTACTAACGGCACCGTACTCTGGCCACACACTACATATAGTGTTGTTCACATCTGCGAGGAAACATACTGCCAGAGGCACTTATATCCTAACCTTAGTCTATCAGTTACAACATCTTATAATGCAGTGATGTTATTTACTTATCCATATACATGTTTCACTTGATACACCTTCATCATGGTAAACTATGGATCGACTAATGCCTGTTAGCACTCACCTGCTTGCATTCAGGAAACATTGAACAAGAGTAGCGCACTTTAAGCTAAAGGTTTCTTTGCTCATAATTAATTTCAGATCAATATTAGACTTTTACCCTTCAATTTGTACAAGAAATAAATGTAGCTGTAACACAATTATTAATGGTCCATCTGATGTACGAAGTACAGTACAGATGTCCATCATTAATACCACTAGCTGATGTACCCAGTACGTACGATGTCATCATTAATACTACAACTGATGTACAGTACAGATGTCCCTCATTAATGCTACAACTGATGTACAGTATAGCACAGTACAGTATAATACAGATGTAACAGTAAATATATTTCAACTGATGTGCAGTATAGCACAGTACAGGTTAGTACAGTACAGCACAGCACAGTACAAAACAGTTCAGAAGAGTACAGTATATTACAGTTCAGTTCAGAACAGTACACAGTACAGTATAGATGTCCCTCATTAATGTTACAACCGATGTACAGTACAGTACAGCACAGTACAAAACAGTTCAGAAGAGTACAGTACAGTACAGTATATTACAGTTCAGTACCGAACAGAACAGTACAGATATCCTCATTAATGTTACAACTGATGTAAATAAATGTATCTTTAATGGGTGAAGGTTAAAGTCAGTTATAATAGGAGAAAGTTATTTATTTCCTTGTTTACAACGACTGATTTAACTGAGAACTATTTACATGAATGTGTTGTGAGGTTGGTGATGTAGTCACTGAAGAGCGGCGACGTACAGTACAGTATAGTATGCAAAAAGAAGAGATTTCCACTGATAAGGTATATTAATACACCCTGTACACCTGTACCCTAGTGGCAGGAATGTGGACTGAGGACATTATATACTGCGGCGGTAATAACACAGTAAATTAGTTTATACCTTTAATGTTCAAGAGGCAATATAAGGCACTAGAGTGTGAAGTAAGAAGACGATCTCTGTGACGAAGAGGAGAGTAAAATAAACTTACAGGACTTGACATAGTTTCCCTTACCAAAGTGACACTAAATAAATGAAGCAAAATATAAATATATACAGAAATAAGGGTGAAATAACATAAAAATATCCAATAGTAACAAAATCTGTAATCATTTTGGATCACAAAAACCCACAATAAGAACAAGAAACAAAAATGATGACAATCATCCTTCTAGAGACACAAGGATCATGGAGGGACACCCCTAACATAAAAAACCCTGAGAAAACATCATATAGAATAGCAGCTTGATAGGGTGACGCGCGCACAATGCCCTTCATTGCCCTCAGAGCTAATGCGCTCTACTCTCTATATTACCAACCAACCTAACTATTTCAATACTGTTGTGGAAAGTGAGGGACAGAATAAGACGATCAATATATAATCAAGTTTAATAGAAAAATGAAAACGTTTATTCACTAATGAAATATAATAGTTACCCTTGCTCAGTTTTCTGTGTTTAAATATAAGTTACCCCACAACCGACTCCTGTGATGGGGAAATATAAAAAGTTTGCCCTAAAATTGTCCTCTCAGTTTTCTGTGATTAAATCTAATAGTTGAAATATAATAGTTACCCCTGAAACTTTCCTCTCATCAAAACTAGTGAAAATATTAAATATATGTGATTTCGGGGATGAAACATAATAGTTACCCCTTCACAATTTTCTGTGATGAAATATAATAGTTACCCCTTAAACCTTCTTCCTCTCATCAAAACACTAATCCTTCTTATTCTTCTTCTTCCTCTCATCAAAACGCAGGGGAAAGATCGAAAGCTAGAGGGAAGAAACAAAATTCGAAGTGGTCATTTTAAAATCGAATGCTAGATGGAAGAATCAAAGTTTGAAGGGGTGGTTAATTTTCGCCACCTGTCCCCAACCCTGCCCCCTGAAACCTAGTTTACTTATATTACTTTAGGATGCCATCATTTGGACGAGTTACACGAATTTATGTAATTATATCATTAATTACAGTAATAATCAAATAACACTTTAATGCCATATTCTATTTTATAATTACAAGTTAATGCAATGTTCTTATAAAAGATACTTTCACAGAATCTAGTGAAATTAGCAAATATAGTTGTTTTATGGGATAAAATATAATAGTGCCCCCTAACCCCTTCACAGTTTTCTGTGATGAAATATAATAGTTACCCCTTAAACCTTCTTCTTCTTCCTCTCATCAAAACACTAATCCTTCTTATTCTTCTTCTTCCTCTCATCAAAACGCAGGGGAAAGATCGAAAGCTAGAGGGAAGAAACAAAATTCGAAGTGGTCATTTTAAGATCGATAGCTAGATGGAAGAAACAAAATTTGAAGGGGTGGTTAATTTTCGCCACCTGTCCCCAACCCTGCCCCCTGAAACCTAGTTTACTTATATTACTTTAGGATGCCATCATTTGGACGAGTTACACGAATTTATGTAATTATATCATTAATTACAGTAATAATCAAATAACACTTTAATGCCATATTCTATTTTATAATTACAAGTTAATGCAATGTTCTTATAAAAGATACTTTCACAGAATCTAGTGAAATTAGCAAATATAGTTGTTTTATGGGATAAAATATAATAGTGCCCCCTAACCCCTTCACAGTTTTCTGTGATGAAATATAATAGTTACCCCTTAAACCTTCTTCTTCTTCCTCTCATCAAAACACTAATCCTTCTTATTATTCTTCTTCCTCTCATCAAAACGCAGGGGAAAGATCGAAAGCTAGAGGGAAGAAACAAAATTCGAAGTGGTCATTTTAAGATCGATAGCTAGATGGAAGAAACAAAATTTGAAGGGGTGGTTAATTTTCGCCACCTGTCCCCAACCCTGCCCCCTGAAACCTAGTTTACTTATATTACTTTAGGATGCCATCATTTGGACGAGTTACACGAATTTATGTAATTATATCATTAATTACAGTAATAATCAAATAACACTTTAATGCCATAGTCTATTTTATAATTACAAGTTAATGCAATGTTCTTATAAAAGATACTTTCACAGAATCTAGTGAAATTAGCAAATATAGTTGTTTTATGGGATAAAATATAATAGTGCCCCCTAACCCCTTCACAGTTTTCTGTGATGAAATATAATAGTTACCCCTTAAACCTTCTTCTTCTTCCTCTCATCAAAACACTAATCCTTCTTATTCTTCTTCTTCCTCTCATCAAAACGCAGGGGAAAGATCGAAAGCTAGAGGGAAGAAACAAAATTCGAAGTGGTCATTTTAAGATCGAAGGCTAGATGGAAGAATCAAAATTTGAAGGGGTGGTTAATTTTCGCCACCTGTCCCCAACCCTGCCCCCTGAAACCTAGTTTACTTATATTACTTTAGGATGCCATCATTTGGACGAGTTACACGAATTTATGTAATTATATCATTAATTACAGTAATAATCAAATAACACTTTAATGCCATATTCTATTTTATAATTACAAGTTAATGCAATGTTCTTATAAAAGATACTTTCACAGAATCTAGTGAAATTAGCAAATATAGTTGTTTTATGGGATAAAATATAATAGTGCCCCCTAACCCCTTCACAGTTTTCTGTGATGAAATATAATAGTTACCCCTTAAACCTTCTTCTTCTTCCTCTCATCAAAACACTAATCCTTCTTATTCTTCTTCTTCCTCTCATCAAAACGCAGGGGAAAGATCGAAAGCTAGAGGGAAGAAACAAAATTCGAAGTGGTCATTTAAGATTGAAAGCTGGAGGGAAGAAACAAAATTCGAAGGGGTGGTTATTTTTTGCCCGTCCCCAACCCTTCCCCCTGAAGCCTAGTTTACTTATATTACTTTACGATGCCACCATTTTGACGAGCTACATGAATTTTTGTAGTTATATCATTAATTACAGTAATAATCAAATAACACTTTAATGCCATATTCTATTTTATATTTACAAATTAATGCAATGTTCTTGCAAAGATACTTTCACAGAATCTGAGTAGAGTGTAAATGTAGTTGTTTATAGGATAAAAATATAATAGTGCCCCCTAACCCCTTCACAGTTTTCTGTGTGATGAAATATAATAGTTACCCCTTAAACCTTCTTCTTCTTCCTCTCATCAAAAACACTAATCCTTCTTATTCTTCTTCTTCCTCCTCATCAAAACGCAGGGAAAGATCGAAAGCTAGAGGAAGAAACAAAATTCAGAGAGTGGTCATTTTAAGATCGAAGGCTAGATGGAAGAAACAAAGTTTGAAGGGGTGGTTAATTTTCGCCACCTGTCCCCAACCCTGCCCCCTGAAACCTAGTTTACTTATATTACTTTACGATGCCTCCATTTGGGCGAGTTACACGAATTTATGTAATTACATAATTAATTACAGTAATAATCAAATAACACTTTAATGCCATATTCTATTTTATAATTACAAGTTAATGCAATGTTCTTATAAAAGATACTTTCACAGAATCTAGTGAAATTATTAAATATAATTGTTTTATGCGATAAAATATAATAGTCCCCCTAACCCCTTCACAGTTTTCTGTGATGAAATATAATAGTTACCTTAAACCTTCTTCTTCTTCCTCTCATCAAAACACTAATCCTTCTTATTCTTCTTCTTCCTCTCATCAAAAGCGCGGGGAAAGATCGAAGTTAGAGGAAGAAACAAAATTTGAAGTGGTCATTTTAAAAATCGGAATGCT